ATCCAGTAGTAGATAGGTATTAAGTTTCTCAGATTTAACAAAAAGTGCATGTCGATTTTATGGACTATGACGTTACTGAGATAACGTTATCTCATGTCATAATTATATCTAAAAAAACTAAGTTGTAAAATACGCCATATAAGGACATAATTAATGCACCTTATGCGCGCAATCTACTCGTGTCGTTTAAACCTTATAATATGATTAAATTATATATGAAGTTGCAGGTCAGTATGAGCCTATAAATTGTAACATTTTCGTTCATTAGTTTTTCGGGTTGTCATCAGTAAAACAATGTATATTGATTATTATTTCTGCTAGATAGGAGTTTTGTGTATGTTTTCTTCCATATTTAGCCTATAAAATCGATATAAAACAAACGCAAATCAACTGTTAATAATTCAGTTTTATGCAAATTCATCATTGCGCAATTGCCATCATGTTTCAAACTGCCGCGGCTTTTCCTTAAAAGGATGTACTGAGCTCGCTTGGAAGTAAATGATGTCGAAGAAAACCTCAGTCTAAAGTAACTGGATAATTATAAATATAGAATGTTACATCACACTGGGAACATATATATACGAAACTGCAGCAAAGTTGTTATCAAGCTATAGATTTGGAAGAGTTAGCTGTCAAGAAGAAAGATACCGGTAAGGCGCGAAACTAAGACTTGTTTTAAGTTAGTCTTTGGAGTCCATACATTTATCCCGAACAAACGCTCAAGTTCTTGATCAAGTTGCTACAATTGATTAAGTATTTAAAGATTTTTCACTATGTAGTGCTATCGATGTACTCGTTTTCTCCACAAAGTTTGTTTTAAACATCTATATGCAGATTAATTTGGTTGACCGCAACTAATTTTTAACTATTTTGCTTTCAAGGTCTTTTGAAAACTAAAGTCACAATCAACATATCAAAATGGTAAGTAGTTACAGTATTATAATAAAATTGTAGGTGGCCGTTGTTAACTCTTAATTTTTAATATGCCCGACAGAATAGCAGTGTTAGTTTAGTCAAAAATTGAGGTCGTTGTACACTAAACACACCCTCGGCCAGGCTTTTATCATCCATGGAAGTGATTAGGAATGATCAAAGCAATTGTTCTTTATTTGAGGAAGCAGAGTGTGAGCAAATTTTGCTGTAATCTTCGGCTTGGTTACTTGAAACTCATAATGCAACTGAACTTATATTTCAAAAATAGCTCTCCTAGATACCAACTTTGGCCTTCA